AGACCATCTATTAATGTGGCAAAAATGTTATACAAGTAGTTACAAAGCTTGATTCAAAGGTATGCCCAAGTTAGAGAAGTGTAGTGGCTCTCATAAAACACTTGTCACTCTATGCTATCCTAAGTTGGCTGAGTTTGCTATTTATAGGCATGCAAGGTTGGTGCCCTTTCTTTCAAAAGCTTTCTAGTCATGTCTTGGCCTAGATTTTGGTAGAAGGCTCTAGAGGCCCCTTGGTAGGCTTGGATGCTGCTAGAACTTTCTAGAAATGTCCAGATGATGCTCCAACCTTCTAGTGGGTTCTAGATTATGGTAGAACCTCTTGGATCTCCCTAGATCCTTCTAGTACTCTCTAGGCTTGTCTAGAATGTTCCATATGTTTCTAGGCTCTTCCTTGGAGTCTCTTCCTTGGAGTCTCTTCTGAAACTTCTAGAATAATGGAGATTGGCCTAGTCCCTTCTTACCATTAACCTTCTTGGCTATATGTACATGTAATGGGGCACCATTAGAACCCTTTTGCCCCCTTGGCTTTAGGCTAAGAGAGGTGGCTAATGACATTCTCCCCCAGTTAAACACGTGACGCCCTCATCGCATCTTGCTTGTAGGCGAGGATTTTGTCGTCGAATTGCCATAAGAAAAGTTCATGTTCCCAGCTAGCCTTGGCATCAGGTAAGCCCTTCCATATCATTAAATACTCAATATGGCTTGGATGGACTCCCTTTTGTGGGACACACGATGTGCCCAAATTTCCTCAACTTCATGCTCGTGTGTGATGTTGACGACTATGGAGCTCGCTTTGATTTACCCTCTGTAGGATCTTCCATGTCTTTGTGATATGGCTTGAGGAAGCTCACATGGAACACCGGATGTAGCTCCAAGTTGGGCGGCAAAGTGACCCTATAAGCCATTTTTTCCACTCTTGCTTCAATAGGAAAAGGGCCCTCATATCTTCGGAGTAAAGCTTTGTAGAGCTTTGGCTTAATCCCTTCTTACTATTGACCTTTTTGGCTATATATACATGTAATGTAGCATCATTAGAACTCTTTTGTCCCCTTGGCTCCCCTTGGCTTTCGACTAAGAAAGGTGGCTCATGATACATATTAGGATGGCCGAGCCTTGTAACGTGGGCTTGTGACCCGAGTGGGGGCATAAAGATGATGTGACATTGATTTAGCTGCAAAGGGTTGGGTTCGATGTGGCAAATTTCTAGCCTGCCCATTCCAAGCTGAGAGTTGTCTCATATGGTTCTTGCGAAAGCTTGGACCATCTGAATCCTAGAGCGGAGGGCACTGCGTCAGGTTGGCTTTACAGAGCAACGATAACCTCTCGCTCCTAGCAGTAGAAGGATAATGGGCTAGTACTGTTTAGATTCGGATGGCACAATGGGCTGGTCTAACTTTTACATCTAGCAACTTAACCCAATCTCTTTGGTTGGCACTCACAAAGTGCCTCAAGTAGAGCTCTAACAAAGCATTCACCCTCTCGGTTTGCCCAACGATTTGGGGGTGAATGCTGGTGGAGAAGTTAAGCTTTGTGCCCAGTAGCTTAAAGAGTTCTGTCCAAAACTTTCCAGTGAATCGAGCATCTCGATCACTAATGATGGACCTTGGTAGCCCCTAATAATTGACTACATGACAGAAGAATAACTTGCCAACATCTTCCGTATTAAACTTGACTAGGGTAGGGATAAAGACAACATTTACTAAAGCGATCTACCACCACCATGATGTTGCCAAGTCCTTTGACTCCTGAAAAGCCAACGATAAAGTCCATTGAGATGCTTTCCCAAGGCCTTTCGGGGATAGGTAGGGGCTGTAGTAGTCTTGATGGCCTAGCTTGCTCCACCTAGTCTTGTTGACAAACAAGGCAAGTCTTCACATATAATTCTACATCATCTCACAGCCTTGGCCAATGACTTGCCCTTAGCTCGACCCAGCTTGCACAGCTCACGCCTGTTGCCTGCCCCAGGCCTGCCTGCACAATGTAACGCCCAGCCCTTACACCTGGCAGCCCAAGTCCCACTTGACTTAGACTTTGGCCTTCCTCTCATGGGTAGATTGGCTTCTAACTCAAAATTGGCCCCAAAATCACCCATTTGAGCCTTGAAACATGCCTTTGGCATACAAGGGGAGTCTTGGTGCGTGTTGGGCAAGAAACCTATTGTGAGGTTAAGACAAGATTGGGCGCTAGGCAAGCAATAAGGTCGGTGCTGGGGGCACTAAACCAGTCTAGAACCTTCTAGAGGACCACATGTAGGCTGCCACACCTCAACCACACATTTAGGTCGGTGGTGCACCTATATATATGTGCAATGCACATAGTTGTAGGCATAGAGATGCAGAAATGGATAGAGAGATACATAGGAGTATAGCATAGCACACACTAACTTTATACGCAGTGTAAAGTTTTCCATTGCTTAGTGGAATCTTTTTCCTCTCGTCTGTCTCTAGCTCTTTTAAGCTTGAAACTCTCATTGCTTTGCCAACATTCTCACTTTGTGGGACGAGAAGGCTGACTAGCTGACTTGTTGGAAAGCTTGCTAGTGTCGCATGAACAATTGATACCCGCAGTGAGCCGGAAAGCATCGAGCCCATGACAATATAAGTTGGATGGAAGTTAAGTAATTTAATACAGTTAAGGTATTTGGAGCTCATTTAGATACATTTTGATGATGATTTTTATCTATAACAACATAGCTCATTTAGATACATTTTGACGATGATTTCGACCTATAATAACATAGGGGCATTTTTGTCATTCTTATATTAGTATGATAAAATGCTCATATTTGAAGCATTTTGGTAAATTGGATGTGATCTTAAAGTGTCACGAGCTTAAACCATGCCGAAACAGCACTAAGGCCCAGGTAAGTTTAAGACCCCTGAGGCTCGTAGTAAGCCTAAGCCGATTCTTGGAACAATAAACTCATAAATGATTGTATTAGTAAGTCATACAGTCAATTCATACTTCTAGCCCAATTAATAATTCATAGCTTGGGCATGTATTTCATATACAAATCACATCTTTCATAATATGAGCTAATTGGTCCATTCGTACTCTTAGATAGACAATTAGAAAATCCAAAAGTTTATCGAACATCACACTAATAAATTTTACATGATAAAATATAACACAAAACACCTTAACTGCGGAGTTTAATAAATAGATGTGGATAAGTTTTTTACACACAATAGTGTATATTTAAACATTATCAAAAAGTAGAAGTTACTATTGTAACTCTGCGGAGCAGGATGCAAAGCTTTTCTGAATCAATAAAATGTCTATCTTTTGGGAAAAAGTAAAGGAAAGGAGTGAGTTTTATAACTCAGTGAATAATAACAAATAATACATAGCCCAAACAATCACGCAAAATGCTTTCCAAATTTACATAATGAACACATGATTAGTCAAGCACGTGTCACGGCATCAACATCCACAACAATATCACCTTCATATAATCATATCAAGTGGAGATTAGTCAGTAGCATCACCGAAACCCTCGACAAGCCATTCTTACACATGGCATGTCGTCTCATACGTGTGCACCAGGGAGCCGATCCCCATGCATGGCCAAATGATCTAATCCTCATTTGATTAGTACTCTCATTACTTTTCCATTCTCTCTTTTCTTTCCATTATCAACAAAAGGCCACCATGTGGTTATATCATCCATATCATTTTCATCAGATGCACACAGGGGCATTGATTTCCCCATATACGACCGACGGTATTTAAGACCGCCCTCATAATCCCATGGTGACCCACTTTATCCCAATTCTACACAGAAACAAGGCACAATATAATCACATCACAAGTAATCTAAACAATTTATTCAATATAATAGATCACATCGATAAATCAATATGCAACATAAGAATATCATTATGGTGTATTAATATATAATACTCATGAATAATGATATTGCTATAATGTATATAATTATTTAATAGTCGTATAAATATAATATTAAAATTATAGGGTTGATAATAGTATGAGTAGCTATATTTCAATAAGATGATATTAGTACAAAAAATAAAGGTTAAGTATTATGTATATATCTATATAGTATAGCATGATTGTTACATGTATGCAGATGATGGTATATACTATTTATTATTACCCACAATGATAGAAGAAAGAGCAAGCTTTAATTTGGATTTTGACTATTAGGAGCGTTAGACAAAGTTGGACGATCTAGATAAAATATTTATATAAAGGAAAGATTACATTAGAGAAATGACTTTCCTTAATAAGAAATTTAAAAATTAATCTAATATATATTTGCTTAGATATTTAACTGCTATAATTAATCTAAATTCTATCAAAATTTCTTGCAGCATTTCCCTTAGAATAGGACTTTCCACTTGTTCAAATATTAAAAATTTAATATACTTATCAATTATTACTCACACAGTTCATCCAGTGGTCAATCAACAATTGAAATATCCAACCACCATAAATAGCAATTTTATATTCAACTCTTAGCTTATAAATTAAAATAAATCTTCAATTGGATCTCAATACACGCTCATATATCATTCAAGATTAGCCACTAAAAATAATACTTCAATTAAATTATTAATAAATAATTATATCTTTTAGATAACTTAATTCACTACCATCTTAGTTCATAAAATATAATTTTAATTCCAAAATAATTGATACCTATTCATCAACAAGTTTCCTTTTACTTAAATTACTTTCTGTTTCCAAAATAACTCGTATAGTACTAAATATTTAATTTACTTCCTCTTTTGGTTTATAGTCCTTAATAGCCATTAGCTCAAATTAAATTAAAGAACTAATTTCTCCTTAAAGAACACACATATAAAATTAAGGTCCAACTTCTAAACAATCTAACTCCTTTTCCTTTAATTATATATTTCTCAAGATCAAAGATCAAGCATCTATATTATATCTTTTACTTAATTTATCTAAAACTCATACTATAAGTTCATGTTTACCAAAATTAATTTATATGACAGTAACTAAAAGTTGCTTTATTTTATTAAAACCTTCTAATCATAATCAATATTTATTAAATATATTAGAAAACATTCAAAATGAGATTAGCTAGCCACTAATTTTTTGGAAAAATAACCAGAAACAGTTCCAATATCCCAAAATACAGCATTGCCAGTAATAGCTTGGCTGGAATTTATGGATACGATGGCCGACAAAGCTGTAAGCGGTAGGGAAAGGACCAAATCGACTGGCCTTCAGCTAGTCTCGTCGGAAAACGACAGGACCACGCTGGCGATAGAGGAATCGCAGCGTCTCTCTGTTGTGTCCGCCAGAAGAGGAGAAAGAAAGGGAGTTTTCAAGCTGTGTCGTCGTCGGAGAGGTACTGCAGTCGACCAATCATGCAAAGCTCATGATAGAATTAACATTAAATCACGATAGGATTTTGGTTAGTAAAATATCTTGATGAAGTTCATTTCAACAAAAAGAATAAGAGCAAAAAATTGTTTAACTCTAATCAAAATGAATTATATAAATAAATATGCACTCGATTGTAGATTTTTTTTTTTTTTTTTTTTTTTTTTTTTTTTTTTTTTTTTTTTTTTTTTTTTTTTTTTTTTTTAGCAGATTCGAAGGCAGAGTTTTGGATAGATCATACAACTGAATTGATTGTTTAAAAATGGTGTTGAAACAAATGATATTCCTATACCTAATAGATGAATTCAAATACCTCCATTAAACAATGCCTTCACAAATGCTTCTATCTGTTCATCGAAATTATGAAGAAGACGTGGGTTAGCCCACGACTATAACTAATTTTTGAGTAGCCCTATTATGCCTTTCAGATATACTGAGACTCAGTAACTTTGTCACTACACTATTTGATTATTTCGACAGTTTTAACATCTTCTAATGCTCAACTAAGCCTATCAATCACTTTTTCAATCTCATTATCAATGTTTGTTGCCGACTCTCCAATTGTTTTGGACAAAGTTGATATATTCTCAATTCTACTCTTTTTTGGCTTTGATCCCTTTCTCAGTTGTTGCAAAAGTCGATACATTGCTATCACAATCTTCATTAACGATATTTTCATTTGTATTTCTTGTAGCTTCTATTTTAATTCTTCCACAATATAAATATAATTCTTAAATGAGTTATTAAGGGTAAAGAATAGCAAAATAACTTTTATTGACTAAATTCTCAATATGTCTATTTTATCAAACCATGCTAATAAAATGGGATGGAGGGAGTATTAGTTTCATTATAATTGTATGTAGATATTGATTTGGAGTTGAAGGCAGGGTGTTGGAGATTGAGTGATGGCTTCATTTTCTTCTTAGGCACCTATTAGGATTTTAAAACTTGCATTTATAAATTAGGGATAAAGTATTAGGTTTATGGATTGGATTGTACTTTATTCTGATATCACTTTATTATACAAAAATAGAATTAAGTACATAAAAAATAGCATATTGCAAGTAGCGATACAAAGTAATCACTTAAATTTATTTTTATCTAAATAAAACTTATACTTTAATATTATATAAATAAAAAATGAGTATATATCGAATATAGTTAACGTACAACGCATGTCATACAAAAGATTAGTTATCTAAAAAAAATATATGTAAGCAAGGCTTGTAATAAATGTATAAATAAATCAAAATTCGAATTTTATATTTATAATTGCTTAATAAACATCATATTGATTATATAATCTTTTTATATTATAATCATAATAAACGTATAAAAATTTAATTTAAAAATTTTCAACATCTACCTAAAATCATGTATATTTTATATCATAATTTGTATTAATTTATTTTTCATATTTAGTATAACGATAATTTGTATTAATTTATTGTTCATATTTATAATAACGTTTTTTTTTTTTTTTTTTTTGTTAACTAGATATAACAATGAGAACGTTTTCTTTTCAAACCCACCCGAACCGTCAAAACCAAACTTGCTATTAAAAGTTTCATTTGATGAGATTTATTAGTGGTTTGTCTGGTTTTTTTTTTTTTTTTTTTTTTTTTTTTGAACTGCGATTTTAAGTTTGACTCTTTAGTGTCTCTAAATCAAACCAAAATCAACCTATGAACGCCTCGAATGAAATTAGGCATTTTTATTCATTTGTATGAACGGCTACTTTACAAACTCTCAAATTATGTAAAGATTAAGATATATTTTTTTTTTTTTTTTTTTTTTTTCGAACTGCGATTTTAAGTTTGACTCTATTATTGTGTCTAAATCAAACCAAATCAACCTAGGAACAGCCTCAGAAATGAAATAGGCATTTTATTCATTTGTATGAACGGCTACTTACAAACTCTCAAATTATAAAGATAAAGATATAATAATTAAGATAAACACCATTACGTAATTGAGTAATTATAGTGGTTTATGATATACGTCCACTAATTTATTTCCTAACAATAGTTAGGAGATAATGATGGACATAATGGACATCCACCGTAATTATTTCGTAAATTTTTTTTTCTTTATATTTAGGATAAGGAATTCAGCAAGTCGTACACACACTTAACATTAATTTATGCTTTTATATACATATTTCGTAAAAAAACTACGCCTTCGTGTGCATGCTACAAAACTTGAAAGAAAAAAAATAAAAAAACTATGCACGCATTACAAAAAATCAAACTCATAAATTTAAACTATGATGATTAATCCTGTAAATGCTCTTGTCACTGAACTATTTCCATTTGAGTTTATTACCTTTATTTTCACGTATAACTACTTATCATTGGAAAAAATTTTTGCTAATTAATATGCATGCTTCGAGATTAAATTTCTTTTATAATGATTTTAAAGGTCCATTTTCCTATATTGACAATGCATTTAAGAATAATATTTTCGAAGTAGTCCACTGTGATGTTAAAACTTTAAATAATAAAAAATGTGAATTCCCATCTTTATTAATTAGACTAATTACTCTTATTTGGTTGATCATACTAGCATTTGGATTCTAAAATAATAAAAAAAAATGTGATGTATATTTTAAAAAAAAAAAAACTATACCCTATAATATAATTAAGTTAAACGAATCAATTTTAAAACTTTAGAAAAAAATTGTAAGCTCCTTTCAAGTTCAATCATTTTGTTGTGATTTTACCAGAAAAGAAAAAAAAATTGATTATTCTTTTCCTTTATAATGGACATCTTAAACTAAAATTGCAGTAGTTAAACTTGTAATTTCATCCATAGACTTATATTTCTCTTTTATAATTGCCTGAAAAAGAAAATTTCACATAAAAGTTTTTATTTGATACCTTTACGTGGCTTTGGTCTCTCTCTCTCTCTCTCTCTCTATATATTCTCTTTATAGACATAGATTCCCACATCTAACACAATCTTCACGGGTCAATCAAAGTAATATTGTGTGGGGTTTAGATATTCTGATGTGAAATGGTAATCTTAGATTCCTACAAGTGACTAAATCATTCACCATAAATTTGACCCAATATATAATTTAACTTCTAAATTTTGATTATAACAAAAACTTTGTGCCTCTTTGAATTTTAAGAGATTTTAGCTTTTATACCTAAAATAATATTTACATGTTTAAACTATCCGGTTCTAAGATAATAATATTGACATGTTTCAATTTTCTAATAAATATTTAATCAATGTATTTTACAAATTAAAATATTTAATAAATCAAATTGAAGTATTTAATATATAAAATTTTATAAATTAATATATTCAACGTGTCAAATTAAAAGTTGAGAGTACTGTGAATTTTTATAAAAAATATAAAAGCGAATTTATGTAACCTCCGAAAGAGAGAGATTGCCTTTAGTTGTTTTCTGTAAGAAGAAAGAAAAGACATAACCAGTTCATCGAATTGCTAATTCTGATTTAATGAACTGGTGATTTTGGGTTAATGAGATTCAGAATCAGTTCTTCCGGTTTTAAGACGATTTGAAACCCGACAATTTTGATTTCTGTCCTAATTGAGCCGACTGTCCGTTCAACCGACAGTTCCAATTTCATATTTTAGGTAGCAAAAACTGATACAAACTAAAAACCTTGACCACCATAGATTTTAACTTGTTTGTTTTCTCTTTCATTTTAGTGAAAAACTGAAAATACAGCACTCGGATCATGATGTGACACCATTATCTTCGTACTTGAAAAGAGACTTTTCTTCCAATAGCAAGATAAAAAGTGGGAAAGAAAAGAAATTATTAAAGTGGATATATATGGAAACCTTTCACTATCAAACAGTAAAATAGCTTGTTTGATGAAACCCTAAAATTTTGCAAGATTCTTCATGAACATATTCAACCTTCCACTAATTTTGATTTGAAAACTACTTGCCACCTTTGCCTTAATTACATGAAGCTTGGGTCTTCTCTGTTCTATCATTCATACTTATTAGTGTTTGTTTGTTTGCCTTAGGATTCCTTTTAGTATAATAAACTGCACAACTATAAATATATCTATAACTCTTTTTTTTATTCGGTTGGATGCTCAGTAGGTCAAAATAATACTGCAGACTCCATAATAAGAAAATTCTCCCCTTGACTTACTGAATTGATGAAAACTCTCGTGGTCAAAACTTTTCACTCCTCGCATTCACATTGTATGATGTGTACCCAATTATTAAGTCATCACAGTGGAATAACCCAATTATTAAGTCATCACAGTGGAATAAGCGCGTGAGTGTCACAATAAGAGGAGTGCATATCTAGCAGTAGAAAATGGGTTTATTAATTAAATATAAATAAAAACCAACTCACTCACCTTTTGTGAAAGTATTCCACCTCATAAATGTCTTTTCCTAAATGAAATTTAAAAAGAAAATCAAAGGACAAAAACAGCTTTCCAACAACTGTCTAGTTGTGTGGTGTCAGACACAGAAATTGAATAATCTTTCCAGCCAACTCACAGCCAAAAATGTCTAATCCATACCTAAAGATTTTATGCCACCTTTATCATATAGTGAAGAATAGACGCTATTTTGGAGTTAATGAAGAGTGCTAAATATTGGATAATCATAGCAGCAAGGAAAAAGCTTAGCTAGAGAATACAATAAATTGCGGGATGGCATTCAAAATTTTACATCATATAACATATTGTACAATTTCTAAATGCATCATTTACAGTGATTTTTGAGAACAGTATTCCAACTATAGCTGAGTCAATGAACCTCAAAGAATAAACCTATAAAGTTCTCCCCTCAAATCCCTAATGAAAGAATTAAATCTAAAGGTACACTTTTTCCTGCTTAGACATTTTAATTGTACATTAAAAATTACAGCGTGTAAATACTATATTTTGTAACTCCAGAAACTATCATCTAGCTAAAAGCTTAGAATTAAGTATCAATGTGCTATTGTCTTTAGCTCTTGCTTCAGGTGGTTTACACATGCAATCAGGCATTGGAAATGTGTAAAGTGATCCACTGGGCTTTCTCAATTCAGACCCTTTGTGATCACTGTGGCGAAGCATATCTTTCATCTGTCGCTTGAAGACTTCCCATCTGCATAACATTAATCAGAAGCAGATAATTGTTAAAATATGCTTGTTATGATCGATAATATACAAATGAATAGACATAATTAAGATGTACAGTTTGGATTTAGCACAAGTTTACTTTGGCTACTATCAAGCCAGTACAATTTGATGCAATGCCAAGATACTTTGCAATGAACAGAACGCAGACAACTGAACTGCAAAGAACAATTTGGCTTCACATGCACAGAAAGTTCAGAAACATCAAATCCAATGGCATACGAGCATAAGAGATAAGTCAGATAAAGGGAAAAATTCTTGCAATACCAAGTATGCAGTTAGAACCATAGTACAGAAAAAGCAAGAAAATGGGGTAATAAAGATACCAATTTCACAAATATGAACAGAGCTTACATTATTCAATGCGTTGACCATTTTAAATAATCAAGAATTCACATCTTTTATAGGGTTGCATATATGCATATGTATCTGTGAATAAGAGTAGTAAATAAATGCATATGCACAAGTACGTCAGCAAATCACATCGATTAGCTGCTCTATCCCTGCCGTAACATTAGCTTCTTTGTCCAGTATTTGTCATGGAAGAGTGTCATTAACAACCATCACGTTGGGTGAATTAAGGTTTTATCAATTACCAATGACTAGGAGCACAAGGAGAAAAGAAAAAGGATCTTAAATCCCTTTTAGCTCAAAATGTCAGGCCCTCCTATATCTACCAAAATACAATACGCAGCTTCCAGGAACTTTTCATTCAAAAGACACCAGGTACAACCTCGAGTAAATTAAGACTGCCCATCTCCCTCAAGTTTTATTAATCAGATTATAGATCACCATAGTTGTTTATAGTAGTTAAACCTTAATATGGTGAGAAGGCATGGTCAAAAAGTGCGACTCTTTTGTCCGGCTCTCTCCCTTCTACATTGTAATTCCAATTATTTGGTGTTTCATTTTTGTTCCCAGTGAATAATATGTTGGTCATTTTCCCAGTATGCAATGAAGCAGAGTCAAAGGACCCATAAAGCTTAAAAATTGCAACTTTTCAAGCTGATCAACAGTTATATAAGTTTGTGCTCTGAAGACCTTTAACATGATTAAGATATACCCATGATAAAAGATTATTAGAACACCTACAAGTAAATGAAATGCTGCAGTATATCAAGCAGGTCTTATTTTCAATAGGTATAATTTTTTATTTTTTGCAGGCATGAGTATAAGAAAAAACTTGTCTGATATAATTTGAGAGAAGAAAATGCAAGGAAGAAGCTAAATTGAGGAGTTTAAAATGTAAATGCAATCAATGGTAAGTGTAATGCTTGACAACAGACATTTTCTTCTTTTGTTTCAGTTACATAAAGTAAGGGGCACTGGAGAATTCAATAAAGATTTGAAAATAAAAAATAACAAAAAAAAAAAGGATTGAACTGCATTATACCTGATACTGGGTTTATCAAATAAGAGGGCCAATTTTCTCTTGTCAGGTTTGATCGTCTTAGCATGTCCTCCATTCAAATAACGCCTGTGACCCATCAAGAAGTGGGGAAAATTTCCACCTTGAGTTGTGACAAAGACTTCACTGTGCAGGCAAACTGTATAATCGAGCGCAGCCAACCTAGACAAGTGTCCCTGCATCACATACTTGGGTGTCACAAAGGTTGACCTATTCCTAACCCACTTTACCTATTTACATTTTGAGCCAAATGACGTCTCATAGTTTGCATAATAGTTGGGAAATATACTGAACAGAAATGCACATATGATCAGCTTGATACCTTAAATCGAGCAAGTTCTTCAGCAGTAGCTATTGTATCTTTTGTTTCTAAACGTGGAAACATCTTTTTAAGTGGAGCCATAAACTTCTCCGCTTTATAAATATTACCAGCGGCAACATATACTGAGGTGGTATTATCAAAACCCATGCCTCTAAGCATCATTCCTACCTGCAAAACCAACCACAGAGATCATATGACAGAAACATCAATTATCTAAAGTATTTTCTCTAGTAGAAGAGAAATAGAAGCAAAATCCTAATGTTGTGCTTCCACTCAAAGGGCATATGAGCTTGTAATCCAAAATTAGTGGTAATCATCAAATCAAGTCAATATAATAAGTCATACATCAAAGTAAAATATAACTAAAAAATTCGACCACTGAAAAGATATAACTTGAATAAAACAAAAATGGAGTCACATGGCTATATTGATTGCAGTAAGAGTCCTATTTCTTCACAGCACAGGCACCACTGCTCTTTTCTTTGTTTAGCGGCCTGAATTCTTGTGCTGTGAATCATATAGCTTTTATTAACAGTGACTTCTTAGATAGTCAAGTGTTAGGAATCCAATAGGAACTAGGACTCGATTGTAAATATTAGTTGAATGTTACTATAAATACATAATTGATGTAATTAGCTAGGATACTGTTACTTTTACAGTCAATGATATATCTACCTATCTTCTGTCTCTCTTTCAATCAATCTCTATTCCTTTCTTATCTCTTCTATTTTCTTTCTGTTTCTTACTAAACAGCAAGCTAGGAATTGCTTCTCTGCAGATTCTTAGCGTCAAGACTCTTTTCTTTAAGAATCAGTAATAAGAGGATCAGATGGAGTTCATACAGTAACATTATATTTCTAGAACAGCATGCAAATTGTTTATAAGATGTCTTAAAACACTGTCATAGCACAGGTTTTTTACAAGTTCGGATTGATTCTCTAAAGAATGGAACTTTACTGAGTGTCTGGATGGGTCCTACAACAAAGCATGAACTGAACATTATAATAAATGCAAACTATTCATCAAAACCTGCTAAGGAAGAGAATTCTGGATTACCTCTAATGGAGTTAAAGGGCATTTTCCGTCCACACGGTTTGCTCCTGGCCTTATTACTCTGCCTCTTCTCCTAAATTTTCCTCTCCATCCTCTTTCTCGAGCCATATCCATTTCGTGCTTCTCTTCCTCCCCACCATCATACTCACAGCATGAAAATGCAACCATATCCTGCCATAACAAGAAGATTGCACTTAGAAATAAGGTAAAAAGTAGCTGCAAAACAAATCAATTGTGAAGTGTGTCCTTCAAAGTGAAGAAATGAGTAGAACACCATTTCAAACCGAAGATGCACCGAGACATATTTCCCCCCACTTTGTGAGCTATTCTTAACCATCCGATCAACCATTTTTTCTGCAAGAGTTCTTATAGGTTCTGAGAACCTCAGTGCTTCAAAATTGGCTAAGCATCTAACCCTCTGGATATCTGGAGGAACTGCATGAGCTAGTCTATTGGAGAAAGGTGCGATGCGCACTGCCCTGCACAATGGAATTAGCAAACCTTTTTAGAACACATGCCCTTGATAAACAAAAACATTTCTTTAGACAACTGCACATAAAAATGAAAATAAAAGCATTAGTTGCAATGGTTTGGAAGCTACATAATGCTCAGCACAAAGTGAAACACATTGGATTGCGCAACCATGAAATGTTGCTACAACACAAACGCCCCACCATCCCCTGGCTTTCAATGTGCTTGTGTTTCTTACTCTGTGCTTATGTAAATATTATTATTATTATTATTATTATTATTATTATTATTATTATTATGCTTGTGCATGTTCACACACTAGCAAGACCTGGCTACATCACATGCATGGTCTAAATACGGTGAGAATCCAAATCCTTCCACAAATTACACGGCCTTCTCAAAATTAACAAATATATTAGAAGGCAAAGTTTTACCAATAGAAGGAAATTCCAAAATCATATGGTAATACTTGCTTCCAAGTTATAATCCTAACAGAGGTGGTGTGCTGGGAAGAATTATTCGGAGATTGTTCTATCCTATTAGTATATATGTCTTCATTTACTCTCAAGAGCTGAACTGCACTTACGCCCCTGTGGTTTTACCATTGCAGTGAGCAATAGCTTTTAAATAACTTAATGAAAATATGGCATATAACTAAATTATCTATTTCTTCTAAGGCACAGAATGCAAGAACCTAAAGGCTTATGTTTTTATGTTGATTGTTTCAAATTTCAACTGGTGCATGAGGGCATACATAACCCTTTCAGATTCATCTTCGTTGCTGTTACATGACTACGCTCATTTATTAGGCTATGCTCATTTGTTCTTATTGTCATAAGTTAACTCAACTCAACTAACCTTAATCCCAATCTAGTTGTTTCTGTTAGACAAATCATTCACCTTGATTCAGCTATTTCAGAGGTCATACGTTCTACTAACTACTGAGATAAACCTCCTTTACCAATTGAATCCACAAATTCTAGGGAAACCATTCTGCTTCTCTCCTAGTACTTGAATCCACTTCTTCTCATGCTGGACTGGTGTCTCTAAAGTTCGTTATTTATTTTATCTTAAATGTAAGTGTGTTACATTACACTTGTGGGTAAGGCAGTCTTGTATTGAACCACGTACTTGTTCCATCTTTCGATGCTAATCCTCTAGTTTTTACACATATATAACAAGCAAGAAACAGATTAACAGATGGAAAAAAAGGAGAATAAGGCATTCTTCTCTAAATAATATCAAGAAACAAATGGAAAAAAGGCACATTAACATAGCAAAGCTGTTTAATTTATTGGATATAAGATTTAGCAGAAACCTTATCCAAAAATACTGCAAAGACGAAACTTCATTCCTAGAAGTCCTGGCATTTCTTTCCAACTAAATGTAACAGATCATAACAGTATTAGCACAACATGCTACCAGATCATAACAGTATTAGCAAAACATGCTAATTTTCATGTGTTATCCTTCTTTAAAAGAATGGCTTGTCTCTCTATCATTTAGCTTTCCAAGGAAATGGAAATGCAATCAATTGAATGATGACTGGAGAAGAGGAAATTTGGATGTGGATCATCATTCATCATGCAGAATGGAATTAAAAGTTGAAAACAGGCTCCTTCCCACATCCTCCACGAATACATTCAGGATCCATATTCTTTTTTGTTTTTTCAAGATTTATTAATAAAGGTTTAAAAAAATCAATATTAAAATAAAATAAATGTCCATAAACTTGCACGAGTAATACCAACTCCTAACTTAACATCTCACGATTCTAATTGATATGCTCATTTGCCATCATTATTATCAAGTACTTTCTGTTAAATGTGATTCTGATAGGCCTATTTATGAGAGGGAAATCGAGTAATTCCAGACTAGTTAAGCATAACGTTTGGTACATTTATTTACATAATAACGTCTCCACTATCAGTTTAAACTTTCTGTTTGGAGGTTTTAGCACCAATGTCATTAATTACATATTTTTTATTTGAATAAGGTTAGTATTAGAATCTACATGGCTTAACATAATCATAACAAATTTAGATGCTAATTTAGAAATATGCAACGGGTCAGGGTCTAAAGAAAAAAAAAAAAGATGCCTCTTAAAGGAAGTTACACAATAAAGCCAACTCAATTTCATCCACAATCTCCTAGTATCTAAAGATGGTAGCATTTTGTATAAGAATTAAGAACAATAAACAGCACCAGTGATTAAATTAAGTAAAATACATGCCATATAAATAGAACTCATCATAAACAATCTTGTTTCTTCAGACACAGGGACCAGCAGTCATACTGATATAAAAGAAATATAGAACTACATACCGCATCTGTATCAGCTTTGGAAGCACCTTCTGAAGATAGTAGGTTGGACTGGACCAAGCTTTTACTCTCAAATTTATAATACTGCTTATATTATTGTCAAACTGCTCAAGTACATCCCTTGGGAGTTCATGAATCACATCCACATCATTCTTAAGAGCATGTATAAAGAATTCTTCATCAAATATGTCTCCGAATTTGCTGTGATAGAGAGAAAAGGACAAAGATAATCTTCCAAATATCCATACAAATTTATTCTGATATGTTTAATATGGAAGAATGAAAGTAATGAAGGAATCCTATATTTCAAAGAAGAAATAACATATTAACTATGGGAAAAGGTTGATATCCTAATTTTACACAGAAGTTGAGAAATGTACTACTTGGGGACACAACACAATTATATTACTAAACTGTAGTTAGGATGCGTAATGTTTTAACATGCAACTTGACTTCCTTTTTGCCTTAATTTTGTTTAGTTTCAAAGATCTACAAGATTTGTCATGATTAAAACAAGCGAGACACACACACGCAAAATTATGCACATGCGTGAAGAGTAAGCATTTGTGCATGGTAAGGTTGATTAAATGCAACAGAAGTTATTGGTCCATACCATGAAAACAACCTCTTACAATTCAAGGGAAAATCCTGAATATAACTAATCCTCTTTGGAGCCCATGATGCACAAAGCATTGTAATATATACTTTTACACGCATGTGTATGCAGTTATGGATGAGACTTTATTCTATTTGTGATATAAAGCTTCTGTTGATAATAACCCCTAGCAGCAGGAGCCAGGAAAGGCAGCATAGAAGTTCTCAATCATGTGTTGAAAATAGTAAGACAGATTTTGGTGATGGTAAGATGTCTTATAGTTGAAACTAGCTAGTGAACTTTCAAAGGAAAATAAATAAAGTTGTTTAATTTCAATTACCAAGGAAATGAAGTTTAAGTTCATCAACTAAACACACCTTTGTTATTTGAGAACAAAAATAATATCACCAACTCTCTCTACACTTTTGCTTCATATGTGTATCATTTCATGCTCATCTTCATCTTAAAGGAAGAAGTTCTAATTTGCCACTTATATGTGCACGAAAGTGGCAATGACACATGTAAATCCACTTCTATGTATTGTTATCTTCGTTTCATTTCTCCAACGCCAAGTGGATTTACATGTGTCATTTCACTTTCACGCATATATAAGTGGCATATTCGAATTTCCTCTTCTTTAAAACCAAGATGAGCATGAAATGATACACACAAGAAACAAAAGTGTAGATAGAATTGGTAATACTAGTTCTCTTTCAAAGTATTTATGCGGTGAACTTAAATTTCAATTCCTTTGGTAATTGAAATTAAACGACAATCTAGAGATCCAATTATATAAATGTTAACGGAAATAACCCAGTAACACACACACAAATTAGAAAAGGAAGGAAAAAAACAAACACGAGAATTTCACATGGCTCGACAAATGTGCCTATGTCCATACCTATTGCTTTTTCACCACCAAAAACAGTATTAAGCACCAAGTCCAAAACCTTATACAAAATAAGGACTATTATCCCTGAGCTGTCAGTGGCCCACATCAAGAAGATCCTCCTCTTTACAGGGGTCCCTTGGAGAAAAGTAACTACTTCTCTAACAAATATGAGTTATAGTTCAATAATAATGAACATTGTGGGTTATTCTATCTTATTTATTTATTTTCCTTCAACTTTTATTTGGTAGGAAGGAAGTCAAAAGAATGGAAATGGAGGGAAGAGAAGTATGACCGCCACAATTTAGTTTAGAGTTCATTTTATCTATTTCTCTTTAGTCACTGTCCAACAAAACCTTAGCTCAACCTGCCTGGGACTTGTTTCAGAAACTAACATTTGCTGCAAAGAGAAAGGCGCTATTGAACTCGGATTCCAAAGCCCTTAGGGAGAGAAGAAAAAGAGAAGTGAAAGTTAGTGATTTTTCCTTGTCTAGAAAAGTAGATAGAATTGGACAAGAGTGAAAGGAGTTTCTACATTCACAAATGCTCCAGGGAACTGTATCAACTTTTGAAATTCCCAACAATTAAGCACTAATGTATTGTAATTTTAAGTTGTTAGAACAGAGAGTAGGGTCATGTTGTAATGCCTAAAGAGTCACAACTTATTCCCAAGTTCTCTAACCAAACATGAATAATTCAATATAGTTTTAAATGAATTAGTCACTTAAGCGTGTAAATTCTTAAAGTAATGAGCAAATTAGCACTATAAAAGCAAGTGTTGAAATCTTTGTGATTAAAGTAAATATTGTGTTTCCTAGTTTAGCTTTATTCCTAATTAGAGTAAATATTGTGTTTCCTAGTTTAGGTTTATTCCTATTTAGATTACATCTTATATTGGAACAGTTTTTTGTATATATATAGCGGAGTAGAGGTTGAAAAAGATAATACAATAGAAAGAAATACAACATATTCTTTCTTTTAATTTCTTCATGGTATCAGAGTCATTGTCGTGAATTTTTCGGCAACGGTTTCCATATTCTTTCTTTTAATTTCTTCATGGTATCAGAGTCATTGTCGTGAATTTTTCGGCAACGGTTTCCGTTTGAAAGTGGTTTGAGATATCTACAGTACCGCCGAGAGTGGGAGTTGGTCGTCACCGCCCGGCTCAGAAGGAAAAGCGACCGCCGATCGGCACTCCGTCCAAACCGCGTCGCCGTCCGACAACGAGCGTGTGCACATGCGCCTCTAGAAGATTCTAGCCATTCTTCCCGAGCCAGCGCGTGCAGCTGTTTCCGGCGAGCTCCGTCGACAATTCTTGTTCCGGTGACCTCGACTCGGTATGGGTGACGGAAAGAAGGTAGATATGGGTTTTCACTTAGAGAGCCCCTCATTTCAGATTAGTCCAGTGAAGTTAGATGGAACAAACTACCTGGCTTGGTCTCGGTCTTGTTGATTATTTATTGAAGCTAGAGGTTTGCAGGGATACCTTGATGGTGGAGCAACTAAACCATTCGACAGATCCGGCCTTTAACAAGTGGAATATTCGAGAATTCTCTTATATATGTTTGGTTAATAAATTCCATGCAGCCAACTTATTTCCGAGGGATATTTGCTTCTTGATTTAAGCTCAAGAAGATATGGGATGGGCCGGCTTTTCTTCCAAACCAAAAGACGTATTCACAAACTGGAAACTATGGCTCAGAGGTATGAATGCAAACAAAAAGTTTCATGAAACCAAGAGGCAGATCTGACTATCTCTCAGTTTGTGAACTTAAGTGGGTTATGGCAAGAAACTGGATTATTATCAAGACTTTCAAGCAAATGTATTGATGATGCGACTTCAAGTTCAAAAGTTGATTCAAGTAGGGACTGTGATGATTTTTGGCTGGCCTATAAACTGGAGTATGATCAGATTCGAGTCCAAGTTCTTGGACAGTCCTTTTTCCATCCTTACGACAGCATATCATTTATGTACAGCAAGAGGAGGGCTAGGAGGAAAGCTTATGGTCACGATCTACAATTGATAAAGCCAAGGTTTGATTGCTATCTGCAAGAGAACTATCAGGTGCAAAGAGCCAGTTCTTCAGATAGAGATCAATTATTTTGTGACTATTGCGGTAAAGGATAGTCCACACTTAAGGAGTTCTGCTAGAATTTACATGGGGCCCAACTAAAGGCGTGGAGGGAAGCGGATTAGGTTCTTCTAGACCACAGGCACACATATTTATTTAGTGGAGCTTTATTCTGAGGAACCATTCTACTGGCTGGAAGCTTTTCTGATAAGGAGGATTCAGTCCCTGAAACGATTGTTCGTTCACAGCTTGATTCAGTCCTTAACTTTGCAGCCTCTAATTGTTAATTCAGGTAATTGCTTTTCTTACCTTTCTTTGCAAAAATTGCAAAAACCTCTTGGGTTATAGATTCAGGAGCAAATAAACATACAACATTGCTTCTATAAACATTTCCTCACATATGTCTAATGAAGGACACAGACAAATTCGCATACGTGGTTCCTTTAGTACCCGATTGCTGGCACAGGTTATATTGACTGTACTTCCAATATTAAAACTCATCTCCCCTGTTCTTCATGTTCTAGACTTCCTATTAATTGTATGATCTATCTAGCTTATATCACATAACAGCACTTAATTGCAAAGATAACTTTTTACCTACTCATTTGTATTATTCAGGACTGCATTGTATATTTCAGGAACTGAACACAAGGAGAACGATTGGCAGTGGTAGCTGGCGCAATGGACTGTATCTATTGGACGTTTGTCATTTTTCAAATTCGGGTACCAGTCAAGCTTTGTTAGGAACTTCTAGAAATCCTTCCCATGAAGTTATTCAATGACATAGGAGATTAGGACATCCCTCTTTTTTTGTTTTAGGACATTTATTTCCCACTTTGTTAGCTAAATGTGATTTTAATTCATTAGTAAGTGATGCTTGTGAACTTGCCAAACACACCTAGCATTCCTATTCTCCAATTAATAATAAAAATTTGATTCTTTTTGCTACTATTCATTCTGATATTTGGGGTCCTACTAAAACTGTCTCTCTTTCCGGTTATAGATGGTTTGTGACGGTTTGTGACCTTTATTGATTGTTGCACTAGATTGACTTGGGTTTATTTGATGAAAACAAAAAATGAAGTTTTTTCGTGTTTTCAGAACTTCCATAAAAAATGATTTGAAATCAGTTTGATGCGCATGTTAAAATCCTAAGAACTGATAATGGTACTGAATACATGAATGCAGATTTTCGTTCCCATTTAGATTCTCAAAATGGAGTAGCGGAAAGGTAAAATAGGCATTTACTGGAAGTAGGTTGCTAGGTCTCTTATGTTCACTATGAATCTTCCCAAACCATATTGGGGGGATGCTATTTTGACTGCTGCTTACCTTATCAATCGTATGCCTCTTCGTTCAATCGTATGCCTCTTCGTACTTTAAATTGTAAAACTCCATTAAAGGTTCTTCAAACAAAAAACTCTTATGTTGTACCCCTTAAAGTCTTTGGTTGTGTTTGCTTTATTCATCAGAATGGTCTAAGCAAATTAGATCTTAGAGCCTTGAAGTGTGTTTGTTGGTTGCTCTACTACTCAAAAAGGATATAAGTGCTATCATCCTTCTTCTAAAAAATACTTTGTGATTATAGATGTTACCTTTCAGGAGTTTGAATCTTATTTTCCTTCCCAGTCACCTCTTCATGGGGAGAAATATCAGATGGAAGAGGTGATGGATGACATTTCTTTCCAGGGGGAGATTCGTGTAGACATAAATAGTAAGAGAGAACAACCACCCAAACCTTTAGGAAGATTGGATAGACCTGATTTGAAATTTTTGAAAAACCTACACACGGCGGACTAATACAGAATACAACCAATGGAGCATTGAGACCTCTGATCAATTGTCCTCTCCAATTTCAAATCCCTGAAGATACAGAAGAACAAGAACTTGGTGAGTCTTCTTTCATTCCTGTTGATTCTGATCCTAATCTTGAATTTTCTAGTCCCTCTGACAATGACCTTGATATCCTTTTGCTCTTAGAAAAGGAGTTTAGAACACGCACTAAAAACATCCCATCTCCCATTTTATCTCCTATAATGCTTTGTCTCTTCCTAATAGAGCCTTTGTTTTTGTCTGTTTCTTCTTCTGTTTCTATAAACGCAGGATTGGCAAGAGCATTAACAGGACTCAAAATGGAAGGCTGCAATAAGTTGAGGAGATGAGAGCTTTGGCAAAAAACGAGACATTGGGGATCTTGTAAACTCCTCCACCAGGAAGAAGCTAGTTGGAATGTAAATGGGTATTCACAGTTAAACATAGGCAGATGGTTCAATTGAGAGGTAAAGGCCTAGATTTGGCAGCCCAGAGGATTCATCAAGACCTATGAGTTGATTTAATCCAAGAAACATTTGCCCCTGTAGCCAAGATGAACACATCAGAATTTTGTTGTCCTTGTGCAAAGTATCTTGAAATGGGAGTTTACATCAATTTGACATTAAATGTTTCTTCTACATATGGATTTGAAAGAAGAGGTGTATATGGAAGAATTCCTCCTGGATTTGATGATGACAACAACTAGAGGAGTTTGCAAGCTAAAAGAAGTCATCATATGGGCTGAAACAAATCACCAAAAGAGCATGGGTTTTGAAAGGTTTAGTAAAAGCTATGCTTTCTTTTTGGCGTATATTCATAGCCGATGTTGATCAATACTTTGTTTCAATTAAACATCATGAAGGTAAGATCACATTGCTTATTGTTTAATGTTGATGATATAGTGATGACCTGGAAAATAATGGAAGAAGAAATGACTACTTGAGGAAATTTGTTTAGGCCAGGGAGTTTGAGAATTAAAGATTTGGAAAACGTTTGAGATATTTCCCTTCGGATAAGAAGTTGTAGGTCAGAAAAAAAGGGATTTTTTATTTCTCAGAGAAAGTACAATCCTTATCTCCTTAAAGAAAGCTGGTTAATGTTGGGATGTAAACCTGCAAATCACCTATTAGCCAAGTCAATAAAGCTTTAGCTGGAGGAGAAGCTCAAGTTGATTGTTGGCAGGTAATCAGAGATTGGTCAGGAAGGTTGATTTAACCTTGCCATACTAGACCAGATATTGCCTATGCTGTAAGTTTTAGTGAGTCAGTACATGCATGACCCTCCAGGGAGTCTCACTTAGAAACAGTGGCATTGGACTTCTAAGATTATTTAAAATCAGCTCCGGTAAGAAGGACTTTTATTTTCTAAACATGGCCATTTAGCAATAACAGGCTATACAAATGCGGATTGGGCTGGTTCCCTTGATGATAGGAGATCAACCTCAGATTATTGTGTTTTTGTTGGAGGAAACCTGGTCACATGGAGAAGCAAGAAGCAGGCTGTTGTTGCAAGGTCCAGTGCAGAAGCTCAATATAGAGCTATGGCACAGGGAATCTGTGAACTTCTATGGTTGAGCAGATTAATGGAAGAGTTAAAGTTGGTTGAAACAAAAAATATATCCTTATTTTGTAATAGTAAAGCAGCCATCTATATTATGAACAATCCAGTCCAGCATGATCGAACTAAGTGTATAGAGATTGATCGTCACTTTATAAAAAAGAAGATAGTTGAAGGTTTTATAAGTGTCTCCTATATAGTTTCAAAAGAGCAACTAGCTGATGTTTCACAAAAGGTTTGCATAGCAAGTTGTGTCATCCTTTAGTTTGCAAGTTGGAGATGAGTAATATCTGTGCACCAACTTGAGAGGGAGTGTTGAAATCTTTATGATTAAAGTAAATATTGTATTTCCTAGTTTAGGTTTATTCCTAATTAGTGTAAAGATTGTGTTTCCTAGTTTAGGTTTTTAGAGGTAAATATTGGTGGTTTCCCTATTTAGGTTATTCCTATTTGATTTACTTCCTATAATTGGAACAATTTTTTTGTATATATATAGTGGAGTAAGAGGTTGAAAAAGATAATACAATAGAAAGAAATACAACATATTCTTTCCTTTATAATTTCTATCTCAGCAAACTATCAAATATTCAGAAGGCTACAAACGAACAGTAATTTTGATTACTTCCTATATTGGAACAATTTTTTGTATATATATAGTGGAGTAGAGGTTGAAAAAGATAATACAATAGAAAGAAATACAACATATTCTTTCCTTTATAATTTCTTCAGCAAGCTATCAATATTCAGAGGCTACAACGAACAGTAATTTTGGAAACCACAAAAAACCATAGTGAGAAACTCAAGTGTGAGATGATAGGAACTTGTCTAACCTGAATGAAACACAATATGACTTAAAGCTTTTAAACTAATCAGCAACTGTTTAGAGTCAATTGAATGTATAGAGACAAACAAAAAATTGTGATGATAATCAACATTGACACAATCTCCAATACAAGCTGCATCTTATTGACATAATAACAATTCCAGCAACAATAACAAGAATCACCTGGAATCTTGCCAAACACTGTTTAAATGAAAAATTGGAATGACAAGAGTAGCATTTAGTAGTCCTGCCACAGCAACTGCATCACATATCTGTATCCAGGAAAACAAGAATAAGAACAGAAACAGAAGAGTAGTTGAACAAATACATTGCTTTTCAAGCAGAGTTATGATGGTATAGTCCAAGACCAGCAGCAGACAAAGGAAAAAAACTAGTGCAGCTGTTGGAATAAGGGTTGACAGTAGGTATATGCATGGTGAGAAAAAAGAAGGAAGAAAGTGAGACTTGGACGTGTCTGTTTATCTTATTTCAGTTTATATGTATGTAATATTAAATTATTTGTTTTAGGTTTGTGTTTGTATTTTCAGTTTTAGTGGCTTCATAATGGGTGCAATTACAGGATAGTCTGTGGTTATTTTGTTTCCTTGTAAACTGAATATTTATTTATTTTGAACATGGAATCTAAAGGTGTTGTTATTTTCTTCAAAAATTCTTGTTTCTTGTTATGAGATTGAATCTTAATGAGTCCTTAAACCAGCAACCACAGGTGGGAAAGGCATAATGCTAACAAATTCAGATTTCTACCTAACTCAGAATCTGATTTTTGTGTTAATCAATGCCTAACCGGATCACAAACTCGGGACCATAACATATGGCCTATATGAAGTGCTTGGTAATATCAGTATTTCATATCAGACTTCTGCTGGTATATATGTTCATATAACCCTTTCAGAGCCCATTAATATTAATAGATTTCAAAAAAGAAGAAAAAAAAAAAAGAAATAGCAGGCTATACTATTTTAATACTTGTCTTTGAACTAATAACAGAAGTCAAACCAAATTATTCAAAACACAAGACTAATGTTATGGTTAAGTAGTGAGCACATACATCACTCGAAGCTGCCAAGATGATGCATAGCTCCTGAAGGATAAAACTTACCACAAACCTCAAAGGCATTTGAGCTAACTTGGCCTTATGTGGTACACTTCAATTTGAGCCTTGTTAATGCTTTTCAAAACACTGATTACTTGGAACAGCTATAATAACACATATTTAAAATATGCAACTGTCAAAATCCTAATTAATTTATTTGGGACAATAAGGAAGCAAAAAACATGTCTACCATCATAGATTTTTATATGATTACATATCAAGCATCAGTCATTTGTTTGTGAGAATCTTAGGATCAATGTAGTTTGATTTCTGTATTGGAAAAATGCATCACTCATACGTCCATTAATATGTTAGAAGCAGCGATTAAGTTAAAATTTTCTAACAAACAGATGCACAAATACATCTTCTCATTAACAATTCCATAACAGGCATATTAAAGTGCATCTGTTAATTGTCAACAGCAAAAGACCAACTTTGAAAGATGAAACATACCGATAGACGTTGTTGATTCAACCCACCATTGGCTTCGATTATGAGAAAACCATTAGACTTTGGCAATTCTGAGAACCATAAATTGACAAAAGGAGAAATAAGAGCCATTAGCAACCTAAAATCCATCAGCAAGCATAATAAAATGCCAGGCAAATAAAATTAACATTGGTAACGACAACATACGTATATGCAACTACACATCAGTTTTGCTTCTTTAGACACTAACGTGAAAACACTAATTGTTCAAGGTTCAGGATAACAAGGAAGATCACATAAGACCACAGGATATGCACAGAGTACACTCCAAACATTGATAAAAAGACAAAATATCTGGACAGTGAGTTCTTGTAATTGGCAGGTCCGAGTGGGCCATAAATATAAATGTTTTCATATGAAAATTTTAATTTTGAAATTATTGCTAATCAATTTTGAGATATTATCCTATTTTTCCAACCAATATCATTCTTAAGTAGGCCATGTTTGTTATACAAAAAATAAAACCTGCTTCGGATGTCTCGTTGTTGCCATTGCCACAAGGTTTCCAGCCATTACGCAGCTTTGGATCCCAAGCTGTCATCAACTGCAAGATTTGGTTTGGATCAGTTGTAGAAAGAATTATTTTGCAGGAGGAAAAGACAAGAAAAATAAAACTTAAATTAATGTAAATAAACAGCGCACAGAAGAACATACTGCTTTAAGAATCTTGAGAAATGAGAAATATCAGAAATTGATATCATTTCGCGACCAGATGGTGCATCATTACATAGATTAGCCATATCTTAATTTCTCTCGTAATGACTAGTAATGAGACTCATAATAAATTTGTATTAGGAATTTTATTTGGATTTGTTTTCTGTTATTCATCCCTTTAATTAAATGAGTTCATTATAGTACTCCATGTGCAAATTTACAAACTTTTTGTCATTTTGGAGACAAGAATTAACATAAAATTAGTTGATTGAATATTCAAAATTTCCCCTCTTCAAGTTTCTTTCTACATTCTTTCTCCCCCTGCTCCATCCCATCTTGGTCTCCCCAGGTTACTCTACATATGGGGGAAAGGAAGCTTCCAAGGAAAAATCAAAAAAGAAAAATTGACAGAGAAGTAGTTTATGCTTTCCACCAACAACGAGTGAGACGGTAATACTTATCCTTGGACCAGTCTAGCAGAATCACCACATCTACTCCTAGTAAAAATCCAGACCAAAATCTTATTCTAACCTTGAGTGTTAGGACAGGAGTACTCAGTTGCAACTCTCATCAAAGTAAAATCCATCATCGAGTACTAAAAGTGCCATACAAGTTTCTTACTACATCTAGTATCTCTAGAGCAACTTGACCCCTGACCACAAGAAAAGAGAGTCTATTAGGAATGAGAATGTTGACCAGATAGCTAAAACACTAGAGGAGCCTGAGAAAAAAGATGAGGATAATGCTATTTACGTCAATGGCATCAAATGCATTTTTCACTGCTATAGAAGAGAGAAGATGCTTGTATTCTCACGAGTAGACATTAAGTTCGAGATAGTTTTCCCTGAAGCACCTAGTAGAAAGAATCTACCACTTTAGCACAAAGATCCAGTTAGAGAACTTGAGTTTGGCATTAGTTGCTCTGATCACCAAGTTGTTTCCATTATCATTTTGCAATTCCCAACCTCACAAGTTTCCTCTTAAGCAGAGTCCTTAGAGAAGAGGATCATAATAGATATCAATAAAGAGATAGATTTCTGATATTTATTTTGGTCATTACTAAGCATTATTATTTTACTTAGGCTTCCATTTGTGTAATTACACACAGGTTTCTGCTATGCTGTAGCAAGCTTTGACAATAATTAAGGGCCTGTTTCATATAACTTCTGTTTTTCTGTTTTAATTTGTGTTTCTGTAGTGAAAAGTTGTAAGTAGGAAAACAAGTTGAAAAAATAAGCAAAAACCAATTCTTGTGATTTTTACATATTGTGGAAACCTGTTTTTTTCTGTTTAAGTTATTAACTAATAATAAAATACAGTTGGGAAAAAACAAACAACAAAAAACAACCAAACCAAATAGCCTCCACCAAACATAATTGAAAAGATTCAAATTCTTCTCACTCTTCCCATGTTTATTTCTTTTTGTATTTCTTCCTTATTCTTTCACTCAATCATCTCTCTTTTCTCCTCTCTTTTGACTCAAAACCTATTCTTCTCTTCTTCTCTTTCCTTTCCTGTACTTCTCATCTTTCTCTTATTTTCTTGTTTGATACTATACATACATCATAAACTCAATGCAATGTGACATATTTACTTCTCACTATCACTACATTAGTCATATGCTCATAGGGATTCCCACTTCTTATATACAGTAACAAATTTATCATTCAGTAATTTATCATGACACCTACCTATAGATAAATTCACATCAAAACAGGAGAACAAAAATGGGTAGCCAAAAATTTAAAAATTCTCATTAACCATCAGTGATGCGGACAATGAAATTCTATGTAGCCAAACAACATATCTGAAGAAAAATGGTTTTTCTGAAGGAAAAAAAAAAAAAAAAAAAAAAAAAGGAAAGAAAAAAACTTTAACAATGAATATTTCTATGTAGCCAACAACATACTGAAAGAAAAATGGTTTTTTCCTGAAAAATGGTTTTTCTGAAGGAAAAAAAAAAAAAGAAAAAAAAAAAGGAAAGAAAAAAACTTTAACAGAAGTAAAGAGCTCAACTTTAGTAGCTAAAACAAGCTAAAAAGAGTACCGCATTGTTGCTCCCATTGCTCTCAGTCTCCATATAGGGCCATAGCTTCTCAAAAACCTGCGGACTTCGATACACCGACCCAGGCGGAGGACGTTTCCGTACAACAACGCCGCCACTCTTTAAATTTAAATCAACATCAAAATTCAAAGATCCCATATATAACAACATTCCTGAAATGTACATCAAAGGCGCAAACAAAAGCACTCCTCTTCGTCTAAAAACCACAGATACAAGTATAAATATTAGCCTCTCCACCAAATTCTGCTTGGAACTACGACTGCCGCCGCCGCCGACACCTCCAACTCCGCCAAAACCGCCACCAGTCCCACCTGTCTTGCCCCGGCCGTGACGAAGCCGGGGAGAGGAAGGAGGGGAAGGCGTCGTGGTGGCAGTGACGGAGCGGCCGTTGCCAAGGCGGCTGTAGCCGTGCATGGCTGAGTAAATTATAGGAATTAGACCTAAAAGAAAAAACTAAAGAATGTGGAAAAAGATCTGAGATATAATTGACTGTATGTAGAGAAAAGCTTCCATTCTAAGCAAATAACTTCAAAAGAAAAAACAGGGAAGTTGCGTTTTTGAGAATTTGTTACAGAATTAGGTGGAAGAGAAGAGAAAAGAAGAGAGCAGTGGAGGAGGAGACTGAGTTAGAGGAGATAGTGAATTATGGAAGTAGTGGTGGTGGTGGTGGTGGTGGAGGCAGAGGACGAGAAGAAGAAGCATCAATGACAGTTAATGGTGAGAGAAAGAGTAGTACTACTTTTTGGCTTTTTGCAGGAGCAGGAAATTAAAAGCGTCACGTGTCAGCGCGATGAGGGGTCCGTCTTTCTGGAGACTGGAGTAGAAAGAAGAGTGGCGCAAAGCTTCTGCCTTGTTGCCAGTTGCCGTCATTCATGCGATTCTTATAGTCACTTCTAGTATTGGTTTTTTTGTTAATTGATGAACTAAACTACTCAATAAATGAATTACTAATATTTTTCTTTTTCATTTATTTCGCGTGCAATTTTCTTTTCAACCGCATTCAAACAGTAATTATGTGTGATCAAAATGGTATTAACCGACACTAATCAAAGCAAAATAAAAAAAAAGTCATATGAATTTAATCTGTGAAATTTGAGTTTAATTATTAAACTTTTTTAATAAATAATTCGAATTTAAATTAACTCGACTCTTTTATGATTCTGTAAAACCAAAATTTGAATTAAAAAAGTTTCAAGTTCAATTAATGTCTATATTAATTTATGATTTATTATTGACAAAATTGATTGTGTATTATAATTTTAAGAAAAAAAAAAAAGGAAAGATGAAAAGACAAAATGTTGTTGAGAAAATTGATTGGAAGATTTTGAAAGAAAGAATATAGACCTAATGACCAATGGAAAAAGCATTTTCCACCTACAACAACCAAGAATAGAATGGTGGGACTCTCATAGTCGCTAAAAGTGGGCTACTTTCAAATGATGTTTTTCTTTCCCTTTGTTATTTTTGCTTTACTTTTTAATGGATAATACTGATATATTAGTTCAGTGAAAGCAACTTTATGCTTATTTTCATACTAGTCCTAAACTCGCGGATGAATATATATTATATTTGGATATTATTATTTTGAATTTTTTTTAATGAAATTAATTTATTTTATTATAAAAAATATATCAAGCAAAATTTAACTTATCTAAATAACATCAAATTTAATATGAAAAAGTTAATAAAAATTTTGTTAAAAAATAACCTCAATAGAACAAAGCAAGAAGGAATATTTATAAGATCTCTTCTTGAGATAGGAAGAGAGAAAAAAAAAAAAAAAAAAACTTTATAAGATCTCTTCTTGAAGATAGGAAGAGGAGAAAAAAAAAAAAAAAAAAAAACGCAAAAAAAAAAAAAAAAAAAAAACCAAGACATAACTATGTTATTATATAAAGAAAATAAAACTTTACAATCATGTGAAAAAAAGATTTCGTAGCATCCGCAGGATTTTTAGCTAAACCATATACAAAATCATTATATTTTTTATTGACAAAACTGAAATCAATCTGAACTAAAGAGCATAACAATGAATTAAATTTATTACAATGATCTCAACATTGTCATAGTCGTTTATCCTTTTATTATACCTAACACATGACATTTTTAGAATCTGATTCAACAATAAAACGCTAAGAAAAATTGTAACACCGACTAAACAACTCAACAGCTTTAAAGATTGCTATACTTTTAATAATTTGTACTTTTAGAAAATAATCATTTATGCTGCATTAAGAATTTATATAATAAAAATGTTTTATTTTTCTTCTTTCAAAAACCATAGTCACTTAGAAATTATTTAGCAAATCTCAAAGTTCACCTAGTTCAGAATTAAAATAATAATTATTTAAAGTGGTCCACAACTACCGATGCTCGTACGTACCACTTTGAAAACATTGGTGTTACATAAATGATAAAACACTAAAAGATGATGGGGTGACTATTGTTCACCCTCAAGCCATGCGGTTTAGACATGGCCATATTACGGTTTCGGGAACCGAAACTGTCGGTTTGAACCGGTTCGGAACCGGTGAGAATCGAAATCGGGCCAAACTGAAACTGAAACCGGAGAATTTCGATTCGATTTCGGTTTTAAATTTTCTGAAACCGGAACCGGCGATTCCAGAGAACCGGCGGGAACCGGACTGGAATCGCCGATTTCCCGGCCGGTTTGAACCGGCGGTTCTAGCGTTATAAACTAAATGAAATGTCTATTTTGGGCCAAGCTCATGGGCTTATAGGAATATGGGTTGTACTTGCTTTTACCCAATTAGTGAATGTGGTGAGAAATGTTATGACAGTTGGCATTTAGCCCGTTGACACATTTTTGTTGATATAATATAACCAAAATGAAATGGCTCCAGCAGACCAGTTTTTTTTTTTTTTTTCAAACTTTTTTAAATTTTTTTTTCAAAAACTTTTTTAAAACTAAAAAATAAATTCAGTTGAAAAATTTTTTTAAAAAAATTAAATTAATGTTCAAGTCCTTTAAAAAATAAATTTAATTGAAGTATTTTTTTTAATTTTTTAGGTGTATTTTTTTAAATTTTTTATATTCCAAAGATATTTTTTTTGTTAAAACCGGTCTTTAAAAACTCTTTAGAAATTATTGTGATTCGCACAAAAAAACGATCGGAACCGTCGGTTTTGCCACCCCGGACCGGAACCCGGGAACCAGAAACCGGAACCGGACGGTTCCAAATCAGAACCGGAACCAGATCTTTTCGGTTCGGTTCCGGTTCCAGTTTTTCTGGAACCGAAACCGTCGGTTCCGGAACCGTGGCCACCCTTAATGCGGTTTATGTGGTTGACTTGTGGCGTTTTTATTGAAAGTGGTTTGTGGACGAGTTGGTTAATGCGCTGGGTTTGTAAGTGACGGGCACAGATTCAGGGGTTCAGTGCTGGAGTTTTTGGCTATGTTTTTTCTTTATTTTTTGGGTGTATGCGACGCGTGGAACAGCTAGTTGATAAGAAGGATGCTATTCATATCTACTAATAGCCCATTTAGTAAATTGGCTTTTCATGGCAAATAAATAAATTGCAAATAAAAATCATAGTTGCAATTAAGTCCACCTTTATAAGTATTGGCAAGTGCATCAATGTTCTTTTTATTTTATTTTATTTATTTTCTTTTTTCTATTATTTTTTTTGCCTTTTGTTTGTATTTTCTTTGCTCAAATTTCCTTTCTTTTTTTATTTTTTATTTTATTTTTCAGGTGTTGTACGTAATTGTTACCAATTTAGCTGTTTTCTTTGCTCACTTCCTATTATTGTTTTGGTTAATGTTTGAGTGATTTTTTGATGTTGATTTGAAATTAGGAGATGAAAAGGGGATTGAAAATTTTTAGGCAAAAAAAGGACTAGGTAGTAGTTATTGTTAGGAAGTGAAATGTTCCTCTGTTTTGATTTTTTAGTTTTTATGTACTAAAATGCAATCAATCAAGATGTCAATTTTTTTATTACATGTGGTCAGTTGTTATGCATTTCTATAAATACATTTACTATAATAGAATATAGATATAGGATGTTGGGATAGAAACTAATGGTCCATTTAGTAAATTGGCTAAATGTAGATTTAGAATGTTGGCATATAATGGAATTCTTGATAAGATAAGAAGGATGTTATTCATATCTACTCGTGGTCCATTTACTTTAATTTTGTTTTGATTTTTTTTTGTTTTTCTTTGGTGTTGCACTAAAGTCGCATGGTGCTAAGGTAGAATCAAATGTGAAGGTATGACTTTTTTTAAACTTGATCTATGATTTTTTGAAGTGTTTTGGCTACTATGAATCTGTGATCAGTTATAGAATTTTTAAATTTGGAAATTTAGCTACTGCTGCACAATCTAATTTTATGAGTTTTTTTTTTTTTAATAAACAGAAGTTCATCTCTAGAATTCTTTATTAGCACACACATTATTGAAAAGGCAAACTGTTTCATATATGGAGTTTTAAGTTTTTAGCATAAACTAAAGAAGATATTTTATTTTATTTTTTTAAGATCTGTAAATGGAATTGACACTTTTCTTTAAAAAAATATGATTTTTATTAGTCCTTAATTGTATCATGAATAGAATCTTTTCTTACAATTGCTTATTGGGAATCCTTGGGTAGTTATCCAAATGGGGATGGAAATTTTATGGAGAATGAGACTGTTCTCAGCTCTTTAAAGCTTAATGAAGGTGCTGATCTAGTCAAACATCTTTTATAGCAGTTCCTAAATTTTATTTCTTACTTCTGTCAAATTAGAAACGAAAATTGGGAAGAAAAATATGTGTCTGAAGCAAGACTGTCTATGATTACTTTATATTTTTTGTATGTTGTATTTATTTGTCACTTGAGTATGGTTTTGTATCATTTTTGTTCTTGGAATTCGATTTAGACAACCAACTTACTTCCTCTTCAAGTCTTTTAAATAATGTCATACATGTGAAAATGATTAAAGTTGACTAATTTAATTTACTCTTTGTTATGTGTTAGTTCAAGTTTCTTTTTTTTTTTTTTTAAATATAATATTGCATTTTGTATGGCCTATATTTTTTAATTTCTTTGTTTCTTTTGAGTTAGTATTGTTGTTTTGAATATTAGAATAATTGTAAAAATTGATACTATTTTTTCGATTATTGGCTCTACAAATTAGTTCTATTTTTCTGCTTTATAACTTGCCGATTTTTTTTTTGTTTTATAAATTTAGAAGTTTGTCTTTTCAAATATTTCTTTCATTTCCTTTTTTTTTTTTCAAGTGTTGTACGTCATTTTTGCCAATTTTAACTATTTTGAATTGTAATGACATGAATCCTGCTAATGTTTTGGTTAGTGTCTAACACATGAAGTCAAACAATATGCAAACTTCTGTCAAATTAGAAATGAAAATTGTGAACAAAATATTGAGTTAGTATTGTTGTTTTGAATATTAGTTAGTATTGTTGTTTTGAATATTAGAATAATTATAAGAATTTATACTATTTTCCTTATTATTGGCTCTGCAAATTAGTTTTATTTTTCTGCTCTATAACTTGCCGATTTGTTTTTGTCTTACAAAGTTAGAAGTTTGTCTTTTCAAGTATTTCTTTCTATTTCCTTTTTTTCCAAGTGTTGTATCTCATTTATGCAACTTTAGCTGCTTTGAATTGCAATGACACGAATCTTGCTAATATTTTGGTTAATGTTTTAACACATAAAGTCAAACAATATGCTCGTGCCATGCCAAGCATACCTCGTGCTAGCCCTTGAGAGTCCTCGACACGCCAGTGCCGCCTCCCTCACTAGAGTTTTGTCTATTTACGGATTTTGTGTTATTTTTGGGGTTTTATGACTTTTAACCTAAAACTATAAATAGGTTATTTTGTATTATTGACTTATTC